CAAGTCTCTACAACAGTGGTCACCTTCTCTGGGAAATCTCAAGTCTGAAGTGGGTACTGCTCCCCTAGCATTCAGCACCTATAATAACAGCTGTATGGCAGGCAGTGAATTTTATTTATTTTACTAAAAAAGCCATTATATATATATATATACATTTTATATACATATATATATATATATATAAATTGTTGGTCTTCTACGGGGGTCATTTGCCTCCATTTTACAGACACAGAGACTTAGTTAGGCTCACAGAGTTTGCACAGCTAGCAAGTGGTGGAGGTTGGGTTCATACCCTAGTCTGTCTGACTTGCAAGACAGTGGATTTCATTAACTGCCACTTGAACTGCCTCCCAGTATCGTAGGAGCATAGCTGTGTATCAGGTTCTCTTCCACTAGATTGCACACTTCTTGTTAAATGCTCTATTGCACACTTCCAGTACGTACCTGGCATACAGTCGATGCTTAGGAGACATCTGTGAAAGAAAGGCAGATAAGTGGGGCAGAAAATAGACCCTGGCCTGCTAAATTCTGGCCTGGGAGTCAGGACGCCTTTATATCTTTGACGAATGTCTTGCCCTTTCTGAGCCAAAGCTGGAAGAAGTGTTAGAATCTGAGACTTTTTCTCACGTTCGCCCTTGCTTCAGCTTTGACAGCTCTGCCTTTGTCCCCTGCAAAAACGTGCTGACGCTGGGCTCCCGGGCCCAAGCCTCGAATGTTGATAGGTGGCGACGCTGAGCAGCTCACTCCTGCCACCTGGTGGTATTGAGTAGCCTTGCTCAATCTTCTTTCTCCAGAGCCGCGGATTTATGGAATGTCCTGTCTGCAGCAATTTATACACTGCCCTTCCCTCCAAGAGTATATCTTTCTCTGGAATCCCTTCCCATTAGCAGTAGCACACACTGACATGCTTGCTATTCCAACACACCCGAGCTGAGCTGGCTGGAGTTAGGACCCTTAAAGAATCTAAGCTCTGAAAACGTTACAGTATCCACCTCCACCATAGGGCTTCCGGGCAAAACACTATGAGTAAAATAAGCACAAGTGAGAATGTGCCACAAAAATCTGATTACTCTTACAGTGACAACTGTGATGTTTTATTTTTTTTTAATTTTACACTTTTTAAAGTGTGAGATAAACTATTCATCTCAAACTTTCCATTTGTTTTAGTGCCCCTGCTTTGCAGCCCTGTGCAGTAAGCACTACTGGCACCACTAGGTCCTACTGGGTAACAAACACGCCACGGACTCTTCTTTGGAAAGGAAATTTGCCCAATGTAAGCCGATGTGCTACTTAAGGGCCAAGATTGTTGTATTTTATAAGTTTCTGTCTTTCCTGAGACCCCAGTGTCTGGAAGATAATAGGAGATGATAATCGATGTTTGTTTTTTGGTCTTTACTTGATATGAAGAAGTTCTGGCAAGCCTTTGGTAAGGACCCTTGGGAGCCTATCTATACTTTATCCCAGCCTTGCTGGTTGCCTCATGCGGCCCTACCTATCATCCTGCATCTTTAGTATTTCTCTTTGCAAGTCAGATCCCATCTCCCCTTCTAAGATACCTGATTTCAGTTCTCAGAAAGGATCTCAAAACCCTGGAACTTTAGAGCTGGAGGGAACCACATACTAAGAACAATCTCTATCATTGGTTGAATCCTGTTTGTTTGTTTTTTTTCAAATAGGTTTATTAAGAATAACCAGTTTGAATTTCGTCAAGTGTCTTCTCTGCGTGTATTGAATCGATGATGTGATTCTTTGTGTTGAACATATTAACATGCCCTTTTTTGTGAATTCCATTATTGGAAACCCATTCTAGCAATCCTGAAGTAAATTTTTAAAAAAGGGATCTTAGCCCTCATAGAGGTCCATAGCTCTCAGTTAGATGTAGCCAAATGCGTTTATTTTCAGAAGAGGAAACATAGGTACTGGGAGGTAAAGTGGAGGTTGTTTATGCCTTCAAATGTGGTCCCTAGATTTTTTCATGTATCTTTTTCTCCCCTAACTAGGTTGTTCAGGTCCCAAAGAGCAAGCACTGAGGGGCTCTATTTCACCCAGGGGCTCACTCAGTAAATGCTATTGACTACTAGGTTTATTAATAGGCTTTTATATTGGAGCTGGAGCAAGAAGTTTCCGGCTAAATAGGAAAATGGAAGACTATGGTTATGCCAAATAAAAGACTTCTAGATAGCTAGAGAGGTAAACTGTTAAACAAATGAGGAAAAAATGGCTTGAGGTAACCCATCCCCAGATGAGCTTGAGAAAGAGAATATACCTTCTAAGTAGGCCACAAGATCCAGGAAAGAACACGATGACCTTTGGCTAGATAGATTAACTTTGGTTCTTCTTATGATTATCACATTCCCCCTTCCCAGATTTTCCGGAACTTTCCAATTACAAACATTCTCCCTAAAGCAGTGAGAAGATGTTCCAGAAAAGAGCAGACTGTGTATCTTCATCATCAGCTTTTCTACAGCTCTGTCCCATAGTGTATCCATGCTCAAGTGTGTACCTTTCCCAGCAAAAGATGAACATGTGGGTTGTAAGAATTGGGCTCTGGCCCTGGCCAGGTGGCTCTGTTTGTTGGAGTGTTGTCCGGCACACCGAAAGGTTGGTGGTTCGATACCTAGTCAGGGCACATACCTAAGCTGAAGATTCCATCCCCCTTGGGGCGTAAGGGGAAGCAACCGATTGATGTTTCTCTCTCACATCGATGTTTTGATTTCTCTCCCTTCCTTCTTCTCTCTCTAAAGTCGATGCGTATATCCTCCGGTGAGGATTTAAAAAAAGAAAAAGAATTCTCTCTGGCTAGTGTGGCTCAGTGGATTGAGTGCCAGCCTGCAAACTGAAAGGTCACTGGTTCAATTCCTGGTCAGGGACACATGCCTGGGTTGTGGGCGAGGTCCACAGTTGGGGACGATTGATATAACTGTCACACATAGATGTTTCTCTCCCTCTCTTTCTCCCTCCCTTCCTCTCTCTCTAGCAAATATATATATATTTTTATCTTATATACATATACGTATATAACCCCCTCCAAATGAACTAGGCACCAGAACTGGAAGTGGGCAGAAGAGGGTAAGGCTCATGAACAGACTGAGCTGAGGGCACAACCCCCATGCCGTTCCTCTCGACCACTCTGGCTGGAATGGAAGGCATCAGGGGAGCAGTGGGGATAGGTGGAGGGCGGGCTGTCACCAATGAAGTCACAGGTCCCCAGGTTCTCAGGCTCCTAGAGCTTCCTGAAGGAGTTTTCTTCCTGAAGAAAATTCCTTTTTCTTTAATTTTTATTTATTGATTTGAGAGAGAAACATCAATTTGTTGTTCCACATATTTATGCGTTTATTGGTTGCTTCTTGTATGTGCCCTGACCAGATGGGACCCACGACCTTGACTAACTGGGATAATGCACTAACCAACTGAGCTTCCCCAGCCAGGGCCCCAGAAGCTGCATAGTCTTGTCGGCTCAGTGTTCCATGGCTGCCATGAGGGAGCCCACTGGACACCATGTGCTTCCTCTGTAGGAATTTGGAAGCAACTAGAAAGCACTCTAAGGGTAGCACCGACTACAGGGAGCATCCCAGACTTCCTCTATCCTGGTTGGTTTTGGGGATCCTGGAGCGAGGGGTCAAGCCTGAGACCCAACCAGAAGTAGAATGGGGTGGTGGGTATTGACTGGCAGGTCACAGGTAGACTTAGATGTCTTTGTCTGCCCCATCAGCCTTTGTTAACTAAGGTCTCCCTGTTGTCCCACTACTGTATTCTTGGATTTCTAAGATTTCCTTAGCCAGCGAGGAAGGCCCAGGGCCCAAGAAGACTTTAAAGGGGTAAGGGACTGAGTAGAAAGAGAGTGTATGTGATCATCCATGTATTTGTTGAATATATTTATGTTCCTTTGTATGTCTTCTTCTAAGACCTGGCTCCTGTGGTTCATGAGTGTCGCCATGAATACCCATGGGTGTGTGACTGTGGCATGTGGTATGTGCCTTTGTGTGTCAGGGTAGGGACTCCCTGTGGAGGGCATGTGTTGGAAGGGGGTGATTGTGAGAGCCTGGCTCCCTCTCCTCCTCCCCCATCCCTGCTCCCATCTGGCCTTGATCAGCCGGTCCCTGGGGAGGGAGCCGCGGTTTCGGATACAGGAAAATGTTCCAGGAAGCGGCCACTGTGCTGGGCCCTGCTCCTGCTCCCCCAGCGGAAATTGTTCCAGGAGGGAGGAGGGAAGGGAGTGTCGAGATAGGATTGAAGGAGGAGGGGGTAGCTCTTGGCTCCCCTCTCCACCGGATAAAGCAGAATAAGTTGATAGGAAGCTCAGGTCAGCCAGGAACCTGGATGCTGCTACCTAAAGCATTTAATGCAGGACAATTAAGAGCCGCCAAAAGAAGTTTCCTCTTCTTATCTGGTTCTTTCTCTGTTGAAGTTTAAGGATTGATATCTGGGTGTTCCCTGGGGGTCCCTTTTCTGGTCCTACTAGGGGTTGCCTAAGCTGAGGAGCAGGACACCTGGGTCCTGTCTGAAAACGGTGTGGCTTGGTGGTGGGGGGCGGGCATAGCATACGGTCTCCTCTTCTCCCCACTAAGGGGTCTTTGAAGCTTAGATCCAGGACTGGGAGGGCTGCCTAATTGGGATAATGGAGGTTAATGGGGCGCCTGGAGGGGGTGGCCACGCTCCTAGATCAAAGAAACTCTTCCCAACCACCACAGCTGGAGGTCACAGCTGGAGGGGGGGGGGGGCCTTCTAGCCGGCCAGCAGGGGGTGCTCTGGCACCTGGATACCTGTGTTCCTAAAACTCTGACCCCTTCTTGGGACTACTTTTGTCTAGAGTGCTTGCGGCAGGGCGGATGGGGGAAATGAGGGGACGGGGAGCCCCTCAGATTCAGACTTCTCTTCTTGTGGGCAGGGAGATGAGGAAGAGACAGGGCAAGAGAGGCTGGCAGCCTGGGGTCTACGGGATGTTAGCGCCTCCGTCCCTGCAGGGCCCAGAATAGGACGCCTGTTATCCGGGTCTGAAGGAGACCAGGACCGGGGAGGCAGGTCTCCCATCGCAGTTTCGGGACGTCAGGAAAGGACTGGGAGGGGCAGCTGGGGGCGCTGCCTGGGCGGAGGGGAAAGGGGCACGGGAGCTCCCCCGCCGCCGCCTACTCCCCCCTCCCCCGGGTTGGCGCTCCCTCTCGGGCTCTAATCGGCGCGGCGGCCGCAGCGGGCAGAGTCAGCGCCGCCAGTCTCCGGGACGCGACTCCCAGCAATTGTGGTCGGGACCGCAGATATGCAGCTGCCTCCTGCCCGGGCGCCCGGCCCGGCCGGCCCCGCCCGCGCCCCGCCCCCCTGCCTCCCGGCCGCGCGGGGACACTGAGGCACGGAAGGGAGGCGACGTCCCGGGCCTCTCCCCGCATCCCCAGACCTCAGAATTTGTGGGTCTAGGGCCACCTATCCTCGCCGCAGCTGGGGCTGAGACACCCCCCCACCCCCATCCTGGGGTCTTAACCGCTCGCCAGGTTTTAAACCTCCACGGGGAAAAAAAAAAATCAAGCAATTCTTTGCGATCCAGAGGGGGCGTCCGATTGAGAGCATGTGGTGGGGAAGGGGGTGGTAGTGGTGACTGAGTCCTGAAGACTCTCAATAACCTGGACAGTGGAAAAGGAAGGATGAGGAAGGGTGGCCTAGGCAGACTCTGAACTTACAGGGAGTGCCTTCCTAAGGGAGGAGAAGAGAAGGGGGGTGGAGAGGGGCTGGGATGGGCAAAAAGAGGTCAAAGAAATGGTTAAGGAGAAGTTAGAGCAGTGCATGTGTGGGGGTGGGGAAGGGGCAGGGGTCCTCCTGGGAGGCTGGAGACCAGGTCCTCAGAGGCAGCAGGGTCCCTTCACTCTGTTTACTGGACCCGGCTGTCAAGGGCCATTCTCAGAACTGAACAGATACTGCTGAAACGCCTGCATGCCCTGGGTGCACACGCACGCACAAACACTCGTGTCTTAGCTGCTCTCTCCCTCACTTCTCACATCCAGTCAGCCCCTGAGTCCTGTCTACACCACCTCCTAAATATCACCCTTCCATTACTTCTCATGCCCTCTGCTGCTGCGGGCCACAGCTTCTCACCTCTTGGCTGGACTGCTGCAACGAGCTGGTCTCCTTGCCTCTAATTTTGCCCTCCTCCAAACGTTGACAATACTAATAGGCACCACTGATGGAATAACTACTAAGTGCCAGACACTGTGGTAAGAGTTCCACATATATTATTGCTAATCCTTGTAACAACCCTGGGAGGTTGCTGTATTATGTTTCCCCATTCTAAAAAAGAAGAATCTAAAGCATCAAAGGTTAAATAACTCAAGCTTGCACATAGTAAACGGCAGATTTACACAAGACTGCTGGCTCAAAGTCCCAATTCCATTCTCCTCTATGTAGCCAGGGCCATCTTTCTAAAATACAAATATTTCCATATGTTGCCTCTAGAATCAAGTTCAGATCCCTTGTACAACTGATTAGACTTTCTCCATCAGCCTTCACGTTCTATGCTCCGATCACACTCACCTTTCAACACCTCAAAAGTGCCCTCATCCCCTCATACCCCTGGGCCTTTGCATATAGGGGAGGCAGGACTTAATAACACTCTTCCTGTCTTTACCTTGCTAACTCCTATTCGTCCTTCAGTTTCTTTACTTAGTCATCCTTTTCTTCTGAGAAGCCTTCCTTGATTTTTCCCAACACCAGCTTAGATTCACTTTTTTATTTTACTGATTTTAGAGAGAGAGAGGAAGGGAGACAGGGGAGTGGGACTGATTTTGTTGTTCCACTTATTTATGCATTCACTGGTTGATTCTTGCATGTGCCCTAACTGGGGACTAAACCCACAATCTTGGCATATCCAGATGATGCTCTAATCATCTGAGCTCCCCCACCAGGGCAAGATACTTCCCATTTTTATATTAGTTACTGGGTCTGTCTTGTTCATGGTTGTGTGCCAAAACCTAGCCCTGCATGCATGGCACAGAATAGGTGCTTGCTGAGCATTTATTGAATAAAAGAATGTTCACCAGATCCAGCCTATATCTCACAAAACTGCTCCCAAGAAGCATCTGAGCAGGTCAGGGAAAGTGAGTGTGGTTGGTGGTAGCTCACATTTTGAGGGACCATTGTCTTTGGTTGTTCATCCCCATTGCTAAGGATAGAAGATATAATCATCAGGACTCCAAATTCTCTTTGTTGAAAGATATCAATATATTTCATGCTTCAGATTCCATGGTATCTTTTTTTTTTTTTTTTTACAAAGAGGCACTTCCTTGAGATGGCCAGAGGCTTAATTCAATGCTGACCCACGTGAAACACCTACCCAGGGAAGGTCACCTCCTTCCAGGATCAGGCCTCAGTCTTCCCCTTCCCCCCATTTGCCTCTTTTTCTTCCTGTTACCCTTGCTTCTTCTTCCCCCTCCCATAGCACTTCCCTTTCTAATTCTGATCTGCCTCCTCTGGAATTGCTATACTGTCTCAGGGCTCAAATGTTAACTAAGGAAACAGCTTCAGAGCAAAGAGGAGCCAGGGCTAGCACCAAGATTCCTGCCCTGTGGCCCTGGTTCTGGAAAAGGGAAGAGGGAGAACGAGCAGAGAGGGAGATGGGGAGAGGGTTGAGCTCTGCATGTATGTGTAAAAGTGTGTAGCATGCGGTGAGGTGGGGAGCACCTTTTCTAAGCTGTCTTGTGTAGAGGTTGCTGGCCTCTTAAAAGCTTCCCTCCTTCCTTCTGTCCTCAGCTTTGCCTCCCAGAATTGGATCCTCTTCTCCAAGCTCCCTGAGCCTAGCCTCAGAATGCTAGGTCAAGACACTGAGCAGTGTCCATATCCTGAAGCCATGAATGGATCTTCCCCCTGCGGGGGACGGGGCGGGGGGGGGTTAAATTTCCCTGGTCCCCAATCTCATGGCTTTTTGAGGATCCTACCAGATTAGCAGCTGTCCCTGAGGGTTTCTTATCTGTATTCCCACCATCTCTGTTTTCCCCTAGGTCTCTCTTTTCCTTTGTCTTTCTGTTTCCTAGTCTCTGGGTGCCTTCTTTCCTGTCACCAGTGTCTCTACTGGAGACAAGGGCTGGGCCTGGATGCATGTGGGGGGGGGGGGGTAGTGGCCAGACCAGGGGCCCGGGACATGAGCGCAACTTTCCAAACTTCTCTTCCAGGCCCCTGTGGTTGGGGAGCTCCACAGAGGGAGAGATGAGTCAGCAGGCCGCAGAGCAGGGGGGGTCTGGGTGGGGGTGGGAATGCAGGGGTTCCCCAGGGCCAAGGAGTGCGCTGGGACCATTTGGGTCTCTGGACTCTGGCGGATATGGGGGTAAAAGTCCCTTGAAGGTACACTGGAGGTTACTACACTAGCAGGGGTTGCAGGCAGCAACAGTACCCTCCACATCACCCTTATCCCGAGATTCTTGTAGGAAGAAGGGTCCCTAAATCCCCTCTAGGAGAAGTCAGGGGTCTCCAGAGCTGTGAAACTGTGATGATAGACCCATACGTAGGCATGAGACACTTGCCTTATTGGACCGTTGTCTGATGCATGTCTGTGTGTGTCCAGTGGGGCGTGTTCTAGGTGACTGTGAGTCTCTCTGCATGTATGCACTCTGGTGTATGAATTCTTGTGATTAGGGGTCAAAGAAAGTGTCTCAGTGTAAGCATCGTATGTGTAGTGTGTATATATGTGTGTCAGTGTATAGTGTATATACATATACATATATGTACACATATATATATCAGTGTGTGTCAGTGTGAGCATCTGCAGAGCATACATGAAGTCTGTCTGGAAAAAGTCCAGGCATTGTTAATATAATGAGAATGGTTTGTGCAACACTGACATAACCTGATAGCCAAGGAGCGTGGGCTGGGATGCGCGTGCATGAACAATGACGACTTCACTGTACTAGTCAGTGGGGGCAGTAGATGCCTGTAGGTGAGCATGCGGACTGTGTGGCCATCGTATTCAGAATGACTGGGTGAGTAGAGCAATGAATCTTTATCAAGTTTTGCATTAAGCTTGAGCATTCTTCTGTGGAACCTACTTGGATGATTCAGAAGGCCGCGGCTATGGGCAACCGGTGATTGGCAGCTTCATCACCCACACAACAGTGTGGTACTCCTGCATCACGTCTCCTGCAGAGGTTTTTGGTGAAACATCAAATCACCCATGTGACTCGGCCTCCCTACAGTGCATATTTGGTGCCCTACAACTTCTGGTTTCTCCCAAAACTAAAATCACCTTTGAAAGGGAAGAGTTTCAGACCATTGATGAAATTCAGGAAAATCCCACAGGGCGGCTGATGGCGATTGGGAGAGCTGTGTGAGGTCCCAAGCTGTCTACTTTGAAGGGGACTGAGGCATCGTCGTCTTGTGTGAGTGTTTCTTGTATCTTGTGTCTTCTTCAATAAATGCCTCTATTTTTCCTAGCACGTGGCTGGATACTTTCTGGACAGCCATCATTCAGCACATGTGCAAGTGTGTTATCTGCCAGTGTCACTCATTATTAGGTCTGTTCCGGAGTTTGTGTCGATCTTTATTTCAGGGGCTCTGTTCCCTGTTCACTGGGGATTCGCTCTGGGGGAGCCAAACCTTCCGTAAAAACAACGAAGGAAGGGCTGGGAGTCCCTTTGGATCAGGGTTCTCAGAGGAGCCCGGCCCAGAGGGTGGGCAGAGGGCAGTGGTGTGGAAGGAGGCAGCTTCCTTAAAAAGGAGGGGGCTTCCACTCTCTCCAGTTTTAACTCTCTCTTCATCCCCACTGATCTTTTTAAAAAGACCTAAAAAGAACTGAGGCAGGTTCCAGATTCAACCTCGTCTAGCCTAGAAATCCCACCCTGATTCTTGGAGGGGAGGGAGGGAGGGAGGGAGCGGTCCCTGTGGTTCAGCTCAGTCCTGGGGTTGAAAGATCAGAAAGGCGCTGTCCCACCCCTTATTCAGGGGCGTCCATCTCTGGGAGCTCAGCGTCTGGGTGGCCATGGGCGGAGGCTGAGGGGCCCCCAGGGCGGTGGGGGGTGGTGGATAGAAACCAGATGCCTAGGGGGTTTATACTGGAAGGACCAGAGCCGCAGCCTCTACCCGCCCCTGCCACATGGCGCCTCTGCCTGGGCCGCCCCACCCCCTGGGAGGCTGGGCTGAGGGAGGCCGGGCAGGGTGGAGACAGGTCCTTGGTCAGGGCTCCCAGTTGCTGCCCCTAGCCCTTGGGGGCGCTGGGAGGGGGGTCAGCATCTGGATCACAAACACCAGGCCCTCAGCTGGGCTGCAGGACTGTCTTTTAAAAGGGTGTGGAAGTCAGAACCCAGAGTCCCGAGGGAGGCAGCTGAGGGCTTCAGGCAGCCCCTCTTCATAAACCTTTGGCTTTGGCACAACCTTGGGGAGGAGACCCCGTTTCCAGAGACTGTTCTATTAGTAACGACACATACATCTTCCTGGGGACCCTGCTCCTTCCTTCCTTTTCCTTCCCTGGCACTGCTGCCCCTTCCCAGATGGGATTAGGGTTTAAGGTCCCCAAAGAGGAAGTGGAGAAGGCTGACCCTCCCTGCCCCCATCTCCTTTCCCCAACTCTGCACCTCCTTTCATTCTTCCCTTATTCCTCTTTTTGCCCTTAAGTCTCTTCCTTTCCTCCCCGATCTAGTTGGAGCCCCAGTGCTTCTCCTACTTGCCATTTCTTCTCTGAAGTTTAGGCTTTACTCCTCTGTCTCTGTTGCCTGCCTGACCTAACCAGCCTTGGGCTTTTCTGCTGCTGGTGCAATCATTTGTTCAAAGCTTCCCCATCTTCTTCCCAACTTCTGAGTGTGTGTATGTATGAGGGGCAGAAATCCATCTGGCACCTCAGGCTCAGACGCCCCCCCCACCAGGGGGAGACAGCGAGGTCACAGGACACCCCACCACGGGCACTTCCTCTTGGGCAGACGGGTGGGGTGGCCCGTGTAATCATCGGACACAATTATGCACTATTTATACCCCATCCCCGCCCCCCCACCTGCCTGGCTGCTTCAACTCCCTGCCTCCTCCTTGCCTGACCAGGCGTCCGGCAATTTTCTCTGTCCTGTCCTTTCTCTAAGCCATTGTTCCTCATCTTTGTTCCTTTGGGCCAGTTCTTCTCAGGTATTTCTGCTCTGTTTTTTTTAAGTCACATTCCTGGGCTTCTGCTTCTTTTCTCCCTGTTATATCACACACTGTCTCTTCCGATTCTCTCCGAGTGTTTCATCTGCTCTGTGTGTCTCTCAGTCCTTCTGGCCTCTCTGTGTCTCTTCTTTTGCTTCTTTTCCTTTGTCTGCCGACCACCCCGGCTTCCTAAACCTCTCCCCAAAAGTTGTGCCCACAGGCTTCCTTGGGGGAAATCGAATCATTGGGCTGGAATCCAGAACACCTGGGGCCTACCCTGAGCTCCGATCCTGCCTGCCCGTTAACTTTATCAACCCTCCCTGGGCTTCCATCAGCGCCTCGTTCCTCCCCACCTTTTCCGTGGAGGGCTGGGAGAACAGAAGGAGCAAGGAAGTGGGCACTCAGGAAGAGAAAGTGAGAGGATTGTTTTGGGAGTTACGGTAGTGGGAAGGGAAGACCAGGGCTCCATTCCTCTGATGGGCAGGGCTGGGAGTGGGGAGAGGGGTGTGTTGGGGAATAACTTGTAAAACAACCCCAGCTGGCTGGGCCCCTCCATGGGAGAGATGCTGGTTCTACCACCTGGCTGCCCACTCCCCTCTCCCACAAACTTATCTCCGGACCCACATTTCAATTAATAGACTTTTTTGGTTCCCTCTCCCAACCTGGTTGACCTCCTTTCTCTTCTTCTCCATTTTGATGAGAAGTCCTACCTAAACTCTAACTTCAGTTCCTCCTGCTGCAGAGGGAATTGATGCAATGAGAAAGGGAACTAGGTGCTCCCTCCCAGGAAAGCATGATCTTTCATGAGAAGAACTATCTATCAATAGGTGGGGATTTGATGTGTGGCCAAGAGAGGCCTGAGATGGGGAACTCACAAGGAATAATGGAAGCCAGAGCACACCTTTTGGGGCCTTAATCCAAAGGGGCTAGGCTTGAGCATGGATGAGTTGACCCAATGACCTTTTACTCCCACCCTCACTCCTGCCTGCCTTAAATTTTCCCAGAATCAGAAGATCCAGGTTCTGCCCCACAGAGCCAGGTAGGCCTAGGTACCACTTCCTAGAAGGCATTGGGCGGAGGACTGGGAACCCCCAAGCCTGTGCCAGGCTCTATCCCACTCTGTCCCTTTCTCTAAGCCTTGCTCTGGAACCTACTTCAGTGACCCTAAAAGCCTGGGCAGGAGGAGCCTTCACCCCGGAGTACATTGTCCCTCCTGTCTTTCATAACACACATGCATGCACGCACACGTGTCCGCACACACTGCTCTCCCAACCTAAAGGTGGGTGACTGGGGAAGCAAGCATCACTGTGGTCAGCTCGGGTGTGTGTGTGGTGTGAGTGCCTCCAGCCATGTCACTGAGCTCATTTGTGTGTGTGTTTGTCTGTGTTCATTCATGACAGTGGCTGTGTCCGTGTGCACAGTGCTGCGTGTATGTGTGCATGTATCATCCTGTGTTTGTCCGTGAGTGTGTATGGCTGTGTGTTCCAGTCTCTCTGTGTGAGTGTCGTCCCCAATCCCCCATCCCCCCCCTGGATCTCTAATTAGTGGTTTGGGGTTTGTTCCTTTTCCCTCCTGTTCCTTCCCTCAGCGGCAGCAGCAGCGGCGGCAGCCTCAGCAGCAGAAGCAGCAGCAGCCGAGCAGCAGCCAGGACTCTGGAGTCAGTAGGATTGTAGGATCGGAGCCCAAGTGGGAACAGGACTGGAGCTGGCCTGGGAGAGGAGCCGAGCCCTCCCAGGACCCTCAGGCCACTTCCTCCCTGCGCTCCCACTGCCAGACCTCCAGAGAGGAGAGACCCAGGACACCCAGCCCCAGATCCCCCAGGTATCTGACACTGGGGAGAGCTGGGAGGGGTTCCCACAGATGCCCACGGGATTGCTGGGGGCAGGGCGTGGGACACCTGGGCCCACCGACCTTTCAACCCTTACCCTCGGCTCCCCCAGGATGCCCTGACAACTTGCCCCGTCCTTACCCGCCTCCTGCTTCCACCCCTTCCCTGGGAGCCCTGTTTCTCCTCTCCCGCCCAGATCCCTTCTTTGGGGAGCTCAGCAAATGGAGCAGGAAATTTGGACCCTCTGCCTCCCTCTCTCGCCCTGCTCATTGGATCCGGAGCCTTCTCCTCTGGGAAAGCTGTAATTAGAGGGTGGATCCCTACAGACAGAGAGCAGCCCCCCCACCCCCACCCCCCCAGTCCCTTCTAACTTTAGATCTCTTCTCTCCCATTCTCCCATTCTCACTCCCTCTCCCTCTCCCTCTTTCTCCGGCTTGGCTCTCTCCATCCGCCTGGCTCCTTGGGACCTGTTCCCCAGTCTCAGGATGGCGTCCTCCCTGCTTGAGGTAACTGTCCCCTCTTTCCCCCAGGACACCAGCCACAGTCTTAATGGTCCTAATCCCTGCCTACTCCCCACCTCCCAACTCACACAGACAGTTGCTGTGGTGCTTGTCACTTTTAGGGGGGTCCCTCTGATGAGGAGAGAGGAGTAGTGGGGTTAGAGGGGGTGGGAGAAGGGGCAGGAGAAGGGAGGACATAGCATGGTCAGGGGTCAGAGAGCAGTCCAAGGAGGAGGGGAGGAGACTGGGTGAGAAGAAGGCAGGACCCCTGAGGTCAGCCAAGCACACCAGTTCTGAGGACTGCAAAGGGGATGGAGGAAGGAGTGAGTGGAGGGGTGGGGTGGGGCAAGAAGGCCGAGAGAGAGGCAAGCTGGTGGCACACAGCAGGAGAGAGAGAGAGGTGCTAGGACTGGCTGAGTGAGCAGAGTGGCAGTTGGGGGTCCTGTCTCCTGGAGCTCAGCCTGAGCAGTGTTTTGTCTGGTTCGTAGGTGGGGAGGGGGCTGGGCCTCCAGGCTGGTGTGTATAGGAGAGGAGCTAGGCTATGACAGAAGGGAGCAGAGTGGCCGTGCCTGGCGGGGGGGGGGGGGGCGACTGGAGAACTGGGCCCAGGCCTGAGAGAGAACCAAGGAGGAGGGCCAGGGTCTGAGGCCGCCTGCCCGGCTCACAAATATTTAGCTTTCAGCCAAAGACAAACTCAGCTCTATTTTGGGAGTGGGAGGCTCCAGGGCGGACTGGGCCACTTCCCCTCCAGGCTGGGACCCCAGCATCCCTCACCTCTGGCACTGGGGATGAAGGAAACTAGGGTAACATGGGGGTCGGAGTCAGGGTTTGGGGTCTTGAAAAATTACTGATTCTACCAGGGTTTCTGAGGGACTCAGAGGACATAGTTGGAAAGGGGGACACACAGCCACTCAGAGCCTGTTTGAATGTCCTGAGTTCTCCCTCCTTCTGGGTCACTGACTCTGTTTCTCTGTCACCATCTCTGTCCTACTTCCTGGGTCCCTCCACAGGAATTTGTGGCCAGAGAACCTCCCTCAATGTCAGCCTCCTTCAGTGGCCTTGAATCTTCCATATTATTAGTCCTCAGAAGCCTCATCTTTATTTATTTATTTATTTACTTACTTACTTACTTACTTATTTTTATTGGCTAGAGAGAGACACCGATTTGTTGATCACCCATTTATACAATCATTGCTTGATTCTTGTATTTGCCCTGATGGGGGACTGAACCCACAGTCATGGCACATGGCGATGATGCTCTAACCAACTACCTGAGCTTCCTGACCAGGGCAGAAGCCCCCATCTGTGGTCTATGTTCCCAGCGCCCTGCGCCCTAGCTCAGGTCCCAGGGGCGATGGCTGAGCAGGAAGCTAACTCGTCCAGGCTGTAGGAGAGGTGTGAGAGGAGCAGGAGTGTTAATGCCTGTGTTCATTGGTCTGGGTGTGAGTGTCAGAATGTAAAGCAGCGACTGTCCGTGTGGCTGGCTTTGTGAGAACACAGAGGTGTGTGTGTGTTTGCGTGTATATAAGTGGGTCCATAGCTGTTAGTGCAAGTAGGGAATGGTGTGTGTGTAAGGCTGGGGGATAGTCTGTGACTGAGCCTGAGGGACTGTCATGAGCACCAGTGGAGTGGACACCGTGTCCCTCGTCGCTGCTCTGCACCAGTCAAGGACCTCAGGTACTGCAGTGAGGGCACTCTCCCTGTCATTTCTCCACCAGACTCTATATTGGGCCATCACTGAAGCAATGGTTAGTCTTGAGGAAGCTGGAGAATGAAGGCGCATGGAAATCCTGGGGGCACCCAAGGTAGAGGCAGTGTCAGTGGGCATGGGCATCACGCCAGAGCTGCCAGCGTGGCACTGGTGCCTGGGGGAAGGGCTGGCCCAAAGGGTTGCTGGAAAGACATGGACTGCAACAGCACTTGGGAAGAGGTTATGTCATGAAGTGGGCTTCCAGTCCCTCCCTCCCCATGAGCTGGAGGTGCCCCAACATAAAGATATTCCAGTTCCCTCTTTCACCAATTTTGGGGCACCTGGGTCCTCAACCTTCTTCCCCCCTCTCCTCAGCCACCACCATCAGGAAGCCCTTTGCCTGTCATGGGGGGAATCTTAGGCAAGGGGAAGAACTTTGGGTTCGGAGAGTGAAGCAGCTGACACTCGGTGGGAAGGTCACCTGGGCTGTCTGACATGCAGGAGGACAGAGAGCAAGGGATACAGAGGGTCCGGGCTAGGTGTAGAGGGGGGATTGGCAGCTGGGAGAACTAGACGACCTGGGAGGGGGCTGAAAAAGCGGAGAACTGGAAACTGGGCCCTCGGGTGCCCAGAACCTGTGGCCAGTCAGTCCTCAGACATGCAGTGAGGGGATGTTCCAGCGGGAGGTCAGCTGGGCACTGGGAGCACCTGGAGAGAGGGTCCCCCACCTTGGCCGCACAGCTGGGCTAGAGAGCTGGGACAGCACCTCGTGTCGCGTCTTCTTCAGAGGCTGCCCCTTCCCTAAGTCTACTTTTTGTTGCTGTTTTTTTAAGAGATAGTGGGTGGTGAAGGTAGGATAAAAACAATTGGAAGGTGGGACTCCTGGGTCCTCAAAAGGTAATGCATTGGATCAGGTGTGAGGCCTCATATTTAGGACCCCTCACCAGGACCCTCTCCCCAGTTCTCAGGAGAGTGCAAACAGAAAGGGAAGGAAACTGAGGCTGTGGTGAAACTTAGCCAGGGGGCCAGCGCTTGGCTTCTAGAATAGTCTGTGGGCCTGGTGTCCTGCAACCTTTTCCCTGCTTTCAGGAGCCCTGGGGCCTTCGCTCCCCAGGGCTGGGGTCTCTTGTTGGCCTGGGGCTGCTTGCCTTCTTTCACCCCTCCTTCCTTCCCCACAGCTGGGTGGGGTCCCTGGGCTTGGCTGAGGCCCCTGTGGCCACAGTGTGAGGGCCGGGCGGGGGACGGCGTCGGCGTTTTTAAAAATAAACCGACCGCAGGGAAACCGACGGAGCCGGGCCAGGCTGGGCAGAGGGGGAGGGGGTGGTCAGGGGGAGAAGGCGGGAGAAGCGGCCTGGTCTGGGGGTTTTCTGGGGCCCAGCCCCATGGTGGCTTTCTTAGGTAGGAAATCTCCCTTCTTCTTCCTCTTGCTCCTTCCCTTTCCTTTCTACTGTTTTCCTTTGCCTTCCTAGCCCAGTCTCTTTCCATCACCTCTCTTTGTTTATACTGGTTTCCCGTTGCTCCCTCCCTTTTGTCTTGTCACCTTTCTGCTCACTCAGACTCATTTCTGTCCCCTAATGCCAGTTTTCCCCTCTGTTCCCCTTCTCCTACCCCTGGAGGCCTTTACATCAGTTTCTTACCTTTGCTTAGTGCTTTGCTCCTATGTCTCTGGGCCTCTGCCTCTGTCCTTCGTATTCCATGTTTCTGCCTCTCCCTTTCGGCTGGGATTTGGCTGCTGCCCCAGCACCTCAGCCCACCCTCTCCTTGGGGGGTGAGAGGCTCCAGGGGAAGGAACCCTGGCTGGGAAGGACCAGGGCTTTTACCATGGCCCAGCTTGAGGAAGCTTTTGGTGTCTCAGATTTGGGAATCCATGCCTGTGGGGACAACAGAACCCCAGAGAGAGGGAATTGGACAGGGGGAACAGCAGGTCAGCACCTGGGGAGCAGCGCAAGAGTGGTGAGTGCACACACCCTTCACCGCAACCTTAAGACCCCAGACCAGCCTTGAGGATTAGTGTCTCACATATGCGACATGCTAGCAGACAGGGTCTGGGAACCCTGGGTTCCTGGGTTCTTTTTTCATCTTTACCCAGAAGGCACCAGGTACATTGGTTTTTGAAGACCCCAGTCAGGGAACTGTCCAGGGTCAGCTTTTGAGGACATTGCTTTTCGGTGGGATTCTCAGTAATGGATGCCTGTCTGTGCCAGCCCGGGATTCTGGAGGACAGCTCTTTCCAGAGCGTCCCGAGGCTCCTGAAGGAGGTCTGGCCTGGCGGTAGCAGCAGGATGGGCATCAAGGGCATTCTGAGATTCTAAAAGGCTCCCATGTCCTGAGACCACATATCTTCGTACATCGCTTCCATCCCACACTGTGCTGGACGGGCGAAGAGAGACCAGCTTTGCAGCAACGTGTTAGGGGACATTGAGACACAGAGGGGCATGGCTGTGAGCCAGTATCATAGCCACCCCAATTCCCCACCCTGGAGGGGAGTGAAGACTTCAGGCTCTTCCAGCCCTCCAAAAGGGGTACCAGCTGGCTCCACAAAGCAGGAGGTGCCATTGCCCGCTTGAAAGACATTCTTGCCTCAGCCACAGTCCTGGCTTGGCGGCAGCCCTGCTCCCTCTCAATGTCCCAGTGTCTCAGCCATCGCTTCCTCTTGCTCCCTAGGCCCAGAGTCTCTGCCAAGAGATTCCTTACCAGGGACATGGGAACAAGGCCTTGGGGAGACTGGGCCACTGCCTTAGTCAGGAGACGAAGCAGAGACAGGAAGTGAAATGTGGGGTAATGCTGGGAAAATCTGGAAGTGGGGTAACCACAGTTCCCTAATATTTTTCCTTCTTCCCGTGCTACTCTTTGAGCCTCATCTTTCCTCTCCCAAGTCCCTGATCATGGCCTCTGCTCCGCTCCCAGGGGCCAGGATCCCTAATTCTTGCTCAGGCGCTGCGTCTATCCCCAGCCCCTCCCATGGTTATTTGAGAGGCATCTCCTGTTTCTCGGAGGCCCTTGAGCACCCCTAGGTACATCACAGTGAACGCTGTTTCTTGCCTCCTTGGTTCGGTGTTAGGCTGCAGTCTTGGGCCTCTGCTGTCCTTCCACAATGCCTCTGAGCTGTGTCCTGGGACCCAGTCCTCACTGGACCCTCCTCTTACCTCTAATTCCCCATTCTCTTCAGTTCTTCCCTGACCCCTCTGTTCTCTTCTCCATGTGTCTAGGTTGAAGTCCTGGCTTACCTTTCCCTCTGCATTCTCCTCCTCTCCCCTAAGCAGTGCTTCCATCTCTCCCCAGGAGGAAGCTCACTATGGCTCCAGCCCCTTGGCCATGCTGACAGCGGCGTGTAGCAAATTTGGCGGCTCCAGCCCTCTGCGGGACTCCACGACACTGGGCAAAGCAGGCACAAAGAAGCCATACTCTGTGGCCAGTGACCTTTCAGCTGCAAAAACCATGGGGGATGCCTACCCAGCCCCTTTTTCAAGCACCAATGGGCTCCTCTCACCTGCAGGCAGTCCTCCAGCACCCACCTCGGGCTATGCCAATGACTACCCTCCTTTTTCCCACTCATTCCCTGGGCCCACAGGCACCCAGGACCCTGGGCTCTTAGTGCCCAAGGGACACACTTCTTCTGACTGCCTGCCCAGTGTCTACACTTCTCTGGACATGGCACACCCCTATGGCTCCTGGTACAAGGCAGGCATCCACGCAGGTATCTCACCAGGCCCAGGCAATGCTCCTACACCTTGGTGGGACATGCACCCTGGGGGCAACTGGCTAGGTGGTGGGCAAAGCCAGGGTGATGGGCTGCAAGGGACATTGCCCACAGGCCCTGCTCAGCCTCCACTGAACCCCCAGCTACCCACCTACGCAGCTGACTTTGCCCCCCTTAATCCAGCCCCCTACCCAGCTCCTCACCTTCTGCAACCAGGGCCTCAGCATGTCTTACCCCAAGATGTCTATAAACCCAAGGCAGTGGGCAACAGTGGGCAGTTGGAGGGGAGTGGTGGAGCCAAACCCCCTCGTGGCGCAGGCACAGGGGGCAGTGGTGGTTATGGGGGCAGTGGAGCAGGGCGGTCTTCCTGTGACTGTCCCAACTGCCAGGAGATAGAGCGCCTGGGGGCCGCAGCAGCTGGGCTGCGGAAGAAGCCCATCCACAGCTGCCATATCCCAGGCTGTGGCAAAGTGTACGGCAAGGCCTCACACCTGAAGGCCCACTTGCGCTGGCACACAGGCGAGAGGCCCTTCGTCTGCAACTGGCTCTTCTGTGGCAAGAGATTCACCCGTTCGGATGAACTGGAGCGCCACGTGCGCACTCACACCCGGGAGAAAAAGTTCACCTGCCTGCTCTGCTCCAAGCGCTTTACCCGAAGCGACCACCTGAGCAAACACCAACGCACCCACGGCGAGCCAGGCCCAGGCCCCCCACCCAGTGGCCCCAAGGAGCTGGGGGAGGGCCGCAGCACTGGGGAAGAGGAGACCAGTCAGACACCCCGACCTTCAGCTTCTCCGGCACCCCCAGAAAAAGCCCCTGAAGGCAGCCCGGAGCAGAGCAACCTGCTGGAGATCTGAGCTGGGTGGAGGGTCTCCAGCCCCAGGCTGCTTGCCAGCCTCTCCTGGCTCCGTGGACCACTGCTTGCCTTTCACTCCCTTTGCCCCTTGCATGCTGCCTCTTAGGGCACTCTCCACCTCCCCCCTGGCCATTCTGGGGCTGGGTATCTTCCTGCATGCCTCCTCAGCTCCCCTCTTCCCACTGCCATGAGCCAATTCAGTCCATAAACTCTCATCTTAGGCCCTCACCTTGTGCCTGATTTCTGTGCTCTGGCTTCCTAAGCTCTTTCCTTAGCCCTGCTCACAGCTTCTCTCTCCTCTGCTTTTACCATACTAATTCATTCTCATTCCAGTTGGGCTCCCAACCCTTTATTTCTCCATCCTATCGACTCCTTGACACCCATTCTCTCTGCTTCCCAAGCTTACTTACCACTACCCCTTAGCTTCCAGGCTCCAATCTTCCCAAGTTCTTATTCCACTGCTGTGCACGCTCCACAGCATTCTTCCTTTTTACAAACGCAATGATGATAATGATGATAATTTATTGCCCCCTGGTGGCCTCTTTATTAGGGACCAGAGTTAGGGGGGTTGGGGTTAGTGACCTGACAGGGAGCAGGGTGCCAGGAGGGGGGCAGACCAGTGGGGATCTGATCCTAAAGACGGGGTGACCCCAGGGTCAGGGAGGCTGCCCCCAGGCCTATATATTTAACCCCTATATCCCAAGAGAAATGAATAGTAATAATAATAATTATATTTATCTAAGTTATAATGACAGGTCAGGTAGAGTGAGCTGGGGGGAGCGGGGAGGAGGTCCATTTCTGCTATGGAAATTTTAGTCAAATGCATCTCTGTATAGGTGAAGTGTTAGTGGAGATCCTGTTCATAGAATTTCTATCATCAGGGTCTCAGTTAATGGGGTTTCTCTTTTAATGGAATCTCTGCTAATAGCATTGGTTAGCTAGATCTCTGTTAAAGAGTTGATGAGCTATCTCTCAACTGGGTGATCCCTAATATTCCCACCCCCCAGCCGGAAGCTGTGAAACCTCAAGTCCTATGGAGGGGGGACTGGAATGTACCCCAGCTCCCTCAAACCCAGAACAGGTTTTTCCACTGCCCCTCCCCTAACACCATGACCCCATCAGGCTAATCCCTTGTTGCCATGGTCATGGAGAATTTGAAGCTGTCATCTTAGACAGGCTTTTTGGGGAAGCCCGCTTAATAGGAGGCAGATATTGGTTTTGAGGTGCCTCTCCTGAAGAAGAGGTGGAGAAGGCTTTCTCTGGGATCAGATTCGAAAAAATCAAGTATTTATTGAGTGTCTACTCTGTGCAAGGCACTGTGAGCAAGACTGGTGTCTAGAAGCCACAAGAAAGAATAATTTATAGAACTAGGCGGACATAGGTCCCTAAGCTGATTTGGGTGCATACATAGGCCCCCAACCTGGGACTTCAGATTCTCCCACCTCCACCTCCAGTGACTTTTAAAGCCGCTTTGTGCCTTTGAATGCCTTTCCTGTGACTTTAGATCCTCCTTTTCCATCTCCTGCTCCCTCAAGACCCCGCGTTAAAGGGTTAAAGCCTCTGGAGCTTGGGGAGAGGGTAGGTAATACATGGAAGGGGAGGGATCATGCCCTCATGGAGTCTTTTTTTAAATTTAATAAATAAGTTCGATTTTAAACTTTGTCCTAATGGGAAAAGGAGAGAGGGAGGAAGAGGGTGAGCCACCGGATTGGGATTTTTTTCTTTGGCAAATTGGGAACTCCCCGTGGGCGTTCTCAGGTGCTGGTTTGCACATTATGCCCGCGGTAGAATACTCCGTCCGCCAGATCGTTCAAGAAGTTGTTTTTGACGTTGAGCTCTTAGCAAAGTTGGGAAGGCGGAGAGGTTTCTTCTGCTCTTTCTCCGGCTCTGCATCAACGGACCCTGGCAGGCCAGGGCCGGGGCCGGGATGGAACACCGGTCCCGCGGTCGCAGCACCGACTACTGCGCTGCCTGGGACCTGCATAGGGGTGGCTCCCGGCGGGCCGCCCGGGCCTGGCACGTAACACGCCCCTACCCGGGCCGCAATCAGTCGTGCTCGCCACGGAGTTAGCGGAGGAACAAAAGCCACTCTGTGGCGGCCATTCCCAAGCCACAATAGGGCTTTGTGCGGCCCTCACCCCCTAAGGCTCCCCCGCTGGCCTAAGGGGGCGCCCTGGCCTGGCACCCCGCCCCCCCCCATCCTCCGGCCTGAGCCCGATTGCTGGCGGCGCCCCAGCCCACCGTCCCTGTCGCGGTTTCCGGGACCGCGTTGCAGCGCCGGAGGTGGGGGGCGAGGGGCAGTGGGTCCGAGACGGCTAGCCGGGCGGTTTCGGGGTGCCATCCTCCTCCCCACTCAGCAGCCCTCTCGCCCTCTGCCAGGTGCGAAATCTCCTGCCTTCCGGCGGGGCGCAGCTTCAAAGGCCCTTTGAAGAAAACTGCGTTCGGAGGATTATCTCCAGTGGGCCGGGGGCAGTGGCGGGAGGCAGACTGGGGAGAGGGAGTTGGGGCGGCTGAGGGTGGAAGCTAACCTGAGAGGAGACCCGGAGTGGACCCCGGACTCCCACCCCGCCCGCTCGGCGGCCTCCTCCAGACCCCCCAGACCCCCCAGGGCCTGGCCCTCTTGCCTCCCGGTCTCCGCCTGTCCGGTGCCAGCTCCCGCCCGCCGCAGCCCCGCGGTCCTCCCCTCCCCAGGCCCTCGGCCCCTTTCATCTTCCCTAGACTCCGCTTGGGGTTTTGCTGGTTTCTGGGAGATAAAAACCGCTTCAAATAGCGGCGGCGCGCCGCCAGGACAAACAGGGCCAGGCGGGCCATGTGCGCCTGGTTACCGGCCCCGGCCGGGGCTCCCGGGAAGGGGCGGCGGGCTGAGTTCCAGGCACCCAGGCTCCGCAGATGCCTCCCAAAGTCGGGGGGGGGGGAGGTCATGTTAGAAGCCTCAGGCAGCAGTGCGGGCGCTGACTCGGTTTCCCGCCCAGGTTGTAGGGGGTCTGTGGAGACCTCCCGCTAAGCGCCTCCACCCCAGGGGGCGGGGAGGGGGTCACAGCGGTAGTGTCGTCGAGGCCGCCGCGCCCCCTGGTGAAGTTAGTGGGAAGTGCACTAGGCCTGGACTTCAGCCTCCCCAGAATCTGAAAGTTGTGAAAACCATCCAAGGAACGTTAAGTAAGAAGTATGGGGAAGGCGGTGGCGGAATGCGAGTACACATAGCATAGTTCCTTCTGTTCAGTTCACATTACAGGTTAATAGGCAGATACCCACCTGATAGTTATAACACAACCTGTTGCTGAAAATCAGGCTTCATCAAAGGGAAGTGGAAGTTCCAGGCATACGCCACAGGGATTTTGGGGGGTTTTCTTGGAGTTGGATGGTGTCACGACTGAGGTAAAACTTTGTAATGAGTTCTCAGCGTTTTCCACTAATCTGTCAGAGTCACTGACTCTCTCTACTTTCAAACCTGTCCTGCTCCCCCTTTTCAAGGAAAGCTTTCCCAGCCAATTTCCCCAAAGGGTTTTACGTTATTCTCTTTAAGCCTTCTGTGACCTACCAGGTGACGGTGAACAAATCTAGCAAACTAAACGGGGGGGGGGGGGGGGGGCGGGGCGGGGAGGAGCTACTCAAAGTGTGATCTGGGTAGTATCACCTGCGGGCATTTTAGAAATTCAGCTTCAGGGTTCCACTTAGAATCTGCAAGAATTCACTTAGAATTTTAGCAAGATCCTCAGACGAGTCCTATAGCTATTAACATTCTAGAGCCCCTTGTTTTCAGACCTGGGAATAACCTTCTTGGGGGGAACTTTTCATGGAGAAAGGAGTGCCACATAGTATGCTCCATATAGCCTCCCAGTAGATTGGAAGCTCTTGGGAGTGGGGGACTATGCCTTAAACATTTATCTGTCCTGAGAGCATGGTCCTTGGAATTTGCTCGTTAACATTTGTTAAATGAATAAACCGATGTCCAAGGTCAATTATGGCTAATGATGTCTGATATCTATTTAGCATTTTATAACTTATTAAATGGCTTTATTCCTATTATTTTGAGTAGAAAACAACCACGTGAAATAATTAGAATACTGCGAGTGAGAGAGCTGATGCTCAAAGGATTCAAAGATTTTTCCAAAGTCATGCAGCTGTAAGCCAAGGGGCCCCCATTCTGCATTAGACTTCAGTTCTAGTTCCAGCCCTTGGAGTTAGATAGAATAAGATCAATTTCACTTTTTATTATGAAGTCAGAAAGCCTGGTTTTGTTATTTTTAGGTTAAATGCATGTCTCACTCTCCTTATAGTAGTAACAGTACCCACCTCACGGGGTTGTAAAGATTATAAAAGCACTTATAATAAGTGTTCAGGAAATCTTACAGTTCCTTCTTTCTCTTTCCCGAATGTTTAACCCTGTGGGCCCTAGGTTCAGGCAGGCGCAACACTGACTCTCAAAGTCCTCTGACTTTTTTTTCTCCTGGAGGTTTTCCAACCAGCTGTCGGTGTGACAATCTGTATTTTCCTTGGGGCGATCCACAGTCCTGGGAGGGTTTAATTAGGTACTTCCCTGAACGTGGCTTATTTTGGGATTTACAAGCGCTGAGAGAGTGGGAGGATGTGTTGGGGAATTTGGAACTCGGAAAAACAGCAGACCCACAGGGAAAAAAACCTGCCCGACCCTTAACTAGGGGTTGGCCCTACTGATGAGTCCGCGCCGTTTCCCCTCCAGCCGCTAGGCGGCGCTCGAGGAAGCCCTGGAAGTATGTTCCCGGACTGCGCACGCATCTTCTTTTATTCTCTTCACTTGCGTTGAGCTTTGCAACGGCGTTTGTCCTAAGCGGCTACCCGTACCTTTCCGAATCTAGCCCGGGAACGGAGAGACGAGCGGGCTCCGGGAGTTCATCGATTCCGGACGTGTCCTGGCCTGGCAAGATGTGTTCGCTGGGGTTGTTCCCTCCGCCTCCGCCTAGGGGTCAAGTCACCCTATACGAGCATAATAACGAGCTGGTGACCGGCAATAGCTACGAGAGTCCGCCTCCTGACTTCCGGGGCCAGGTGGCGTAGGCGAGAAGGGAGGGGCGTGGGGCGGGGTCTTGGAGAACTGGGGACCTGAGGCAGCGTGGCGGGGGCGGGGTGGCGGTCCATACCTTGGTGGACTGCAAACCGCTGGGCCAGGGCTGGAGAAGGATAGAAGGGCGGGAATATATCTTAGGGCTGGGATTGGAGGATGAGGGATGATGAGCTGTGGGGAGGCCTAGAGGGAGTGGAGAGAATGTGAGAGCAAATCGAGGGGACGTGAGGGTTCAGTAGAAGTACTGAAAAGTTGGGGACAGTCCCTGGGAGAACTGGGAAAGCACAATCTGCATCCTTTCTCCCTCGTGTTCCTGGGAAGGAAAAAGAAGAAACACTGACATTTACTGAGCGTTTGCTTTGTAAGAAGGAGGTTCTGAGTCAGATGTTCGCAAGTATTATGTTTTAATAATCACAGCAACCCTATGAAATATTGTAGCTTTACAGATAAGAGAGCTAAGACCTGTTCTGGTTTCTGAAGTGTTAAATTTGTGAAAATGGGAGACAGGTCCCCAGAGCCTCTTACAGTTAGTCCAGCCATGGGATGGAGATGGCAGAGTTCAGCAGAGATCTGGGAAAGAGACTGACTCACTTTCACACCTCTCACTTCTGGGCTATAGTGGATCAACTTTCCTGTCCTAAACCTGTCTAAGGATCCCCTGAAGACTCCTGGGAGGCTGGACCATGGTACCAGAACTGCTTTCATTCATCATCGGGAGCAAGTGTGGAAGAGGTGCATCAGTGTTTGGTGAGACATGGCAAATGGTCTGGTCCACAATCTACAGATCCTGGAGAAAATGAGGTTATCACTTCTCTACCTTGGGCAGCTAGGCTGTCTTTAGTTCAGAGCCGTGTATCATGCAAATTATCAGTCCTTATTTTAGAACTCTATGCTGTGTAACAGTATTTTCATTTCATCTCCAGTGACTTGCCTTGCTTTATGATTTGATTATGTGAACCTGTTCCCTACCCCACCTAATGTCATGACCACTTCCTGAGCCTTTACCTGAAGCTCAGCAAGGTGAGGTATAAGGTTGTAGTGAGTAATCTATGTAAGTCATTCATTTTGCACATGTAGAAATGAAGCCATAATGCCTGAATTCAGTTCCTGGCTGTGTCACTTCTTAGCTATGACCTTGAGTAAATGAATCACTCTGCTCCTCAGTTTTCATCATCTATAAAATGGAACCTGTTACAAGGTTGTAGTGATGATTAAATGAGTTAGTAGATGTAAAACACTTAGAGAACAGTGCCTGGCCCATATTAATTCCTTTAAAAGTTAGGTCTTGTTATCATTGTCATCTGTAGAGTGAATTCTACAAATGAAGTAGCTAGGTTCAAAGGGTGTGTTCATTTGTAACTTCATGTGCTGTTGCCAAATATTCCTCTGTTGAAATTGTGCACATTTACAGTCCTAACAACAGTGTACATGAATTCCTGTTTCCCCACCTATGTGCTATCAAATTTCCATATTTGGTATTACAGTATGGTTTAATTTGCATGTTTCTTTGTATGAGTGAAGTTAAACATCATTTCATTTCTTTTAATTAAATTTTTTGTGTTTAATCCTCAATGCATTTTTCTTCCATTACCATTTAGTCCACTTATGCCCCCCTCCCCACAGCAATTACCACACTGTTGTCCATGTCCATGAGTCCTTTTTCTAAACATCATTTCATTGTCTGAAAGCCATTCAGTCCTGGATCCTTTCTCACTTTCTGCCTTTCCAGCTGCTGCTTCTCTTCATGCTATGCCTTAAATATTCCTGTCCTGGGCCGGACTTGCAATTGCTTCTCCAAACCTGGGTGTTCACTAGTCTGTCAAACACCCCCTCTAATCTGCAGCCACACTGATCTTTTGAAATGCCAGTGCGGTCAGTCTGTTCCTCTGGTTTATGTCCTGCCATGGCTTTCCACTTACTGTCTTAGGGAAGTCTTCACTCCTTGACCTGCTCACAGAGCCCTGAGAGACACCTGAGCCTGAGTTGCCTCATTGGTAAAATGGGCAGGATACCCATTTTAGTATGATAACTAAATGAAAGGACAATATTTAAAGTGCATGGAGAATAGTTGCCACTCAACAAATGTGAATTCTCCTATTTGTAATACATGTTTCCTGAGTGAATGAATGAAATTTGTAGAAGGTAGACTGAAGAGATCAGAGAAACTGGACTCACAGCTTCCTCTCCTCACCAGGCGTGACATGGGTCTATTTGGGGTGCTGAATGAAATTGCCAACTCGGAGGAGGAGGGTAAGTATTTTTCCCTTCAGCCCTCTAGTTTTGCTGTTGGCATCTCCCCTTCATATTCTCCCTAATTTGTCCTGGTACCTGTTGGCCCAGTCCCCTTCCCTTTAGCCCTGTTTGTCCTGGCCCGATTGTCTACACTGCCACCATCTTCACTTCTCCCGTCCACCTACCTCGCATACCCCAGAGTGGGTGTCCAGAAGCACTGCTTGGGTGGAAGGACTTTGGGAGTGCTCATCTCTCACCAAAGAGGGTGCCTAGTGAGAGCCCTGTGAATAGTTTAATCAGAACTGCTTCCTCAACCCCACAGTGTTTGAGTGGGTGAAGACTGTGTCCAGCTGGGCCCTATTACTCTGCCGATGGGCCTCCTCCCTTCATGGGTCCCTGTTCCCACACCTGTCTGTAAGTTTGGCTTTCTCCCCTGACCTTTCCCAACTCCCCTCTCCATTTCCTACCCCTTAAGGGCAGAATGGGGTGGGAAGCCTGTAGAAGGTGGGAGTAGTCCAAGGGGAACATGGAGGGTGTGTGCTTCCCATGTCCTAGTGCATCCTCTATCTGATTGGATCTTACAGCTCAGGAGTGAAGATCTGATTGCTGAATTTGCCCAGGTCACAAACTGGTGAGTGTACCAGCTCTGGGACTTTTGTAGGAAGCAAGTCCTGAACCTTGCAACTTCTTCTGGGGAGAAAGTTTGTGTACAGGCTCCTCCCACCTCTCTCCTGACTGCTGCCCACATTCTCACTCCTCCCTTCCAAAAAAAGAAATAAAAGAAAAAGGTGGGGCAAAAAAAGTAATGTCCTCATATGAAAGAGAACCCAAGTTTCTGGGCTGGGGTAAGGGTAGGTATAGGTTTGGACTTTTCATGCTCATTCCTGCCTCAGGTCCAGCTGCTGCTTGCGGGTCTTTGCATGGCACCCCCACACCAACAAGTTTGCTGTGGCCCTGCTTGATGACTCAGTCCGTGTGTACAATGTCAACAGGTATGTGGGGGCCTTCTGGGCAGGCTCTGACTCTTCAGTCGCCATAGGTTAGTCTCCACTTCCCTCTCCAGGCTTGCTCTAAGGGGAGTCCTGCAGTTCCTGGGCCTGGCCCGCAGGGGCTCCTTCCAGAGCTGGCTGTGTCCTCTACCCAGATATAACCATTATCTTATCCTGTCCCACAATACTGCCAGTGCTTGGATGATCAGCTTTCTTCTCTATGGATCTGCCTCTCAACTGTACTCAGATCTCCTGAGCCTTAGTGTCCCTGCTTTAACAAAGTCCCCTACCCTTTCACTTCAGCACCATAGTCCCCTCTCTGAAGCACCGGCTGCAGCGAAATGTGGCAGCTCTGGCCTGGAAGCCCCTCAGTGCGTCTGTCTTGGCTGTGGCCTGCCAGAGCTGCATTCTTATCTGGACCCTGGACCCCACTTCCTTGTCCACCAGGTGAGTCCCCACTCTGTCTTGTCTTGGCCTGAGGTTGTGGCCCTGCCAAGGGCAGTGAGGAGGTTTGGAAGGAGAATTTCTTTGTCCTCACAGCAATTCCCATTGGAGGAGTAGACCTAAGGTCAAGGTGGAGGTGCTGAGAATACGGTAATCCAGAGAAAGGAACGGAAGTAGAGGCTTCTGGGATTGTGGGAAGTGTGTATCTGTGAATTATGGAGTTAGAAAGACTCTTTCAGAGGACTGTCAGATACAGGTGTAAAGGAAGGTGGGAAAGGAGTTAATATGGTTATAAGTTGAAACCAACGAAATTGGAAAAAATAATACCTAGGAGAACTAAATATAAAACCAGAAACTGGATATGAGAGTTCCAATTGTCAAAGGAAAGATAATCTCCATACTATTTGAACTAATCCAGATCATAGAAAAATTTGGAAATTCTCCTGATTTTTTTCTTTTAATAAACTTAGTTTTGGCATTATTTTATTTTTTAGATTTTACTTATTTGTTTAGAGAGGGTTAGGAAGGGAGAAAGAGAGTGGGAGAAATATCAATGTTTGGTTGCCTCTTGTGCACTCCCCACTGGAGACCTGGTTCGCAACCCAGGCATGTGCCCTAGACTGGGAATTGAACCAGTGAACCTTTGGTTCATAGACTGGGACTCAATCCACTGAGCCACACCAGCCAGGGCTAATTTGGGCATAATTTTAGATTTTTAGAAAAGTTGCAAAGATAGTACAGAGTTTTGATCCTAGCCAGTGTGGTTCGGTTGGAGCATGATCATGTACACCAAAAGTTGGGGGTTTGATCCCTGGTCAGGGCACATGTAGGAGGCAACCAATCTGTGTTTCTCTCTCCCTTCTTTTCTCTCTAAAAATCTGTCTGTCTGTCTATCTATATATATTTATGCTAATTGATTTTAGAGAGAGGAGAATTGGAGGGAGAGAGAAATGTCAATGGGTTGCCTCTCGTATACGCCCCAACTGGGGACCAAACCCGCAGCCTAAGTATGTGCCCTGACCAGGAATCTAACCTGCAACCCTTCAGCAGTTTATAAGACGATGCTCTAACCAACTCAGCCATACCAGTCATGACTAGTTTCCCCATTTTTAACATATTGCCATGTTACATGTGTCAAAACCAAGGTACTGACATTTGTATGTTATTAATAACTAAACTCCAGACCTTGTTCAGATTTCACTACTCTTTTCCATTAACGTCCTCTGTGCCAGGATAGCTAATGTAACCCAAAAATCTAAGCTCGACAATAGTACAAGAAAGAAAATATCTGAGCATAGATTAAAAAATCCTAAATAAAATAAGAGCAAATAGAGTCCAAAAGAACATTTTAAAAATATTAAGTAGGATATTCCAGAAATTAAAGACTATTTATCATTAGGAAATCTTTTCACATGATTTATTACATTAGCAAATTAATGGAGAAAAATACTTATATCACTAAGTGTCCTCCTCCAAAAGCAGATGTTCCAATTGAAAACACAAAGCAAAATAGGGATACAAGGAGACAACCTAACATAAGCATTTACTCAAAATCAGTAGCTACCATATAAAACTGAAATGAAATACTAAAGGTATTTTTTAAAAGATTTTGTTTATTTAGAGAGAGGGAAAGGGAGGGAGAAAGAGAGGGAGAGAAATGTCAATGTGTAGTTGCCTACCACGTGGCCCCAACTGGGGACCTGGCCTGTCACCCGGGCATGTGCCCTGACTGGGAATTGAACTGGCAACCCTTTAGTTCTCAGCCCGTGGTCAGTCCACTGAGCTACACCAGCAAGGGCTGGTATTTTCAATATTGTCAAGATAAAGACAAAAATATCATTATCATCATTATTAATCAACATTATTTTTGGAAATTCTAGTGAGTACAATAATAAAAGAAAAAGAAATATGGGAAAGTCTTGAAAAAGATAAGAAAATAATTCTTATTTGAAGATGGTTTGATTTTATTCCTTAGTAAAACAAGAGATTCAACTCAAACTACTTGATCTAATAAGAAATATAAATGTAGTAAGGTGACTGGATCCAGGCCGCTGAAAATGTAATAGCTTTCCTGTATACCAACAATAGTCAGTTGAGAAATTGAAACCAAGAAAATAGTCTATTTACAATAGGTGCAACAGTTACTAAGTTATTAGGAATAAATTGTTACATTTATTCGAATATTAAACAACAGCTGAATGAATGGAGACAAGCTATACTCCTGGATAGGAAAAGTTTGTCTGCTTGGATACAATTAAATACCCAACAGACAAAAAAATAAAGGACTAGAAGAAAATATAAAGATATCAAATTAAGTGTACTTCCAGTCAGAATTCTGCTGGGTTTTGTTTGCTGTTATGAACTGGACAAAATTAGAGTTTTTAATGAAAGAATAAATGTGAGAAAACTGCTAAGAGAAAACTGTGAAAAGGAAGAATATTGAGAAGAAACTTGCCCTACCAGGTATTAAAATATTTCATGAAGTTATAGTACTAGACAGTTATTGGTGTAAGAACAGGCATACAGATCAGTGTAACAGAGTAACTTTCAGGAACATATCTAAGACTATATGGAAATTTAACATGATGGATTTGGCTTTTCGCTGTAAAAAAGTTTAGATTTTTTTTTTAGTGGTGTTGGGATAATTGGCTACCCATTTAGAAAATAATAGGCCTTGCTTCACACTTTATATATAAATAAATATCAAGCAAAATAAATGTAAAAATAAAAGGACTAGAATATGTTTTGCCTATTTAGGATGACAGTATTATTAAGATGTTCAATAACACCTAGTACGAGCAAGGGTAGGAAAACAGGTACTTTTATATACAGTTGATGAGAGAGTATAGTGGTGCAAACTTTTCAGAAAATAATTCATTGGCATATTTATTTTTTTAAAGGTGCAAGCCTATTTTTATCCCCAATCCCATGTTAGTACTATTCTGCACAAATAATGACAAGAGTAAAGGTACAGAGTGTATTTTTGCAGCATTGTTTGTCATAGACAAAAATCACACACAACTGAAATGTCCCTTTGTGGAGCTGTGCCTGAATAAGTTAATCTGTTCAGTGGCATACAGTGGGGCCACTGAAGAGAATAATGAGATTCTCTTTATTCTCACATTCTCTTTATTCTGTGAACTGGAAAGGTAACTATGACTTACTGTAAAGTTAGTAAGTTTTAGATCAGTGGCCTAGGACCTCATTGGAGCTAAAAGTGGTCATAGTTATGTGGAAAAGGGAGAGAGTGGCACTAATTCAGGCAGTAGCCTGTACCCGTCAGCCCAAATGTGTGGCTCTGGAGATTCAAAGCTAAGACACAGTGGTGCCCTCAGGGAGTTCCCAGCCTAGTGCTGGAGGCCAAGCCACAGGCAGCATCTTTATGACAAGCAGAAAACAATTCAGGAACAGAGGAGGGGGGCTGATTCTGACAAGGAAAGGCAGTCTTTGGAGCACAGGTTTAATTCTGGGGAGTGGCAGATGACTCTGGAAAAAGACGAGATTGGACCCTTAAGGTAACCTCATGGATCATTCCAGGCCCCAGTGAGATGGTCCTGTGGGGAAAGGGCTGACATCTAGGGCAGAGTATGACATCACCCCACCACGGCAAATTCTAGCTTGACTGGTCAGAAGATTTTCTCATCCTGGAGGGTGATAGTGAAAGCTTACTTCCTTTCACTCATTTTCCTCTGTGGACCTGGTGGTGGTGACATTGCTTTTCCTTACTGATTTTTAACTGAACTTTCACAGTCCTTACTGATTTTCCCCAGCCTGGATTAAACTCTAAGGGGCCATTGGAATTGGGAAGTTTTATCAGGAAGAGGCAAGGAAACAGAATCACAGGGCTTTCTTTTTGTTTTCTGACCCCACACCGTGTTTCCCCTTGGCAGACCCTCTTCTGGCTGTGCCCAAGTGCTCTCTCACCCTGGGCACACACCTGTCACCAGTTTGGCCTGGGCCCCCAGTGGGGGGCGGCTGCTCTCAGCTTCCCCTGTGGATGCTGCTATCTTGGTGAGTTGGTCCCCACCCCTCTTTTGGTCATTTCAGCCATCCCTCAGATTGAGGAAAGAGCATTCTTTGCCTGGTGGTGGAAGGAGAGGGATAATTGTCCGTTCAGTCTTTCTTTTTTTTTTAATCCTCACCTGAGGCCCGCGGACGTGCTTAGAGATGGAAAGGGAAGAAAGTGAAACATCGATGTGAGGAAACATTAATTGGTTTCCTCTCACTTGTGGCCTTACTGGGGACCGCACCTGTAACCTAGGCATGTGCCCTGACCAGAAATTGAACCTGCTACCTTTCGGTTTATGGGAGGCCACTCCTACCAACTGAGCTACACCAGCCAGGGCTGTCCATTCAGTCTTAAACTTACCCATGGAAGGAGCTGCATCCTCCAGACTCAGATTTCAAATTCTGCCTGCTATAATTATAAACATAAAACCTATTTCTTCCTGTTTTGGTTTTTTTCTTAAATTATTTATTTTTAGAGAGGGGAAGGGAGGGAGAGAGGGAAACATCAATGTGTGGTTGCCTCGTGGGCACCCCTCCTGGGGACCTGTGCCCAACACAGGCATGTGCCCTGACTGGGAATCCAACCAGTGGCCTTTTGGCTCACTCAGTCCACTGGGCCGCACCAGTCAAGGCTATTTCCTCGTTTAACAGTCCTTTTCCAATTCTTTGTACCTTAAAGGGGAGCTCCCTGTGAGATGACAGGGGTGCTTGAGTTTCCTGTCTCACTCTCTTGACCCAACCTTCGTAGGTATGGGATGTCTCGACAGAGACCTGTGTTCCCCTCCCCTGGTTTCGGGGAGGTGGGGTTACCAACCTGCTGTGGTCCCCAGATGGTAGCAAAGTCCTGGCTTCTACTCCTTCGGCTGTCTTTCGGTAAGTGGGAGGACAGAGGGTGGGCAAGGATGGCCTGGAGAAAGGCACTCGGCCCCTGGAACTCCCAGCAGGAAGGACCTTCTGTCCCCATTCCTATTCTTTAATGTGACCCTGGGACTGACAAAGAGAGGGAAGTTTAAGTTCTGGAACAAGGGGTCCTAAGCTGTGATCTGCTTCTCTGGCAGAATCTGGGAGGCCCAGATGTGGACTTGTGAGAGGTGGCCTACTCTGTCAGGGCGATGTCAGGTAACATTCTTAGAAGCTGGGGAATAGATGGGCCCCTGGTCCCCCAAGCTTGTCTCCCCACCTCCTGTACTTCTTTTCCTCCTGCATTCCCCGACAGACCACCCTTCCCCTGCCTTTTACTTCCTGATCCCAGACTGGCTGTTGGAGCCCAGATGGAAACCGGCTGCTGTTCACTGTATTGGGGGAACCACTGATTTACTCCTTGTCATTCCCAGAACGTTGTGGTAAGTTGAGGGAAGGACTTTAGGATACAGGCCCTTTAGGGTAGTCAGAGGGAGGCAGGAATACTCTGGAATGTTATTCTGAGGGATAAAGGTAAGTAAAGCAGCTTGGGAAACTTGAGATATGATGTAGAGGAGGCAAGGGACAAGTCAGGCCCATTTCCTATACTTAAGAGCCTTTGCCCTTATCTACAGGTGAGGGAAAGGGGCGAGTTGGAGGTGCAAAATCAGCAACAATTGTGGCAGATCTGTCTGAGACAACAGTACAGACACCAGATGGAGAGGAAAGGTGAGCTGAGTGGGTGAGGGAGAGGCAGCAAAAGGTGGGAGGGACTATGCCAAGCCCTCCCAACCTACTGTTCTGACCCCTAGACTCGGGGGAGAGGCTCACTCCATGGTCTGGGACCCCAGTGGGGAGCGGCTGGCTGTGCTCATGAAAGGTAAGAGGTGGGGAGGAAGGGCTCTGTTCAGGCCCCAGCCATCTTTCCATTGAGTGTGTCCATGCCCTGGCTGCAGGGCTCTTCCCCTGCCCTGGGATTCTGCCTTGAGTTCTTCCCCATGCCTGCATCCATTTCTTATAGGAAATCCACGGGTCCAGGACGGTAAGCCAGTCATCCTCCTTTTTCGCACTCGAAACAGTCCTGTGTTTGAGCTACTTCCTTGGTAAGTGGTAGATAGGCCATTAGGTCTGGGCTCCTCACTAGCCTTCCCTCACTAAACCCACATCCTGTCCCTAGTTACCTGCTTACCTTTTCTTTTTTTCTTCTTCCCCTAGTGGCATTATCCAGGGGGAGCCAGGAGCCCAGGCCCAGCTCATCACTTTCCATCCTTCCTTCAACAAAGGAGCTCTGCTCAGTGTGGTGAGTAGGCCAGGCTCTGGGGGTTTGAGCAAGGTTTTTGGGAGGGGGGTGAAGGAGCTGAGGCCCTTGGTTGCTGTGTGGCTCTGCCATATGGCTGCCTTTGAGCCCAGTGTCTGATAAGGCCTCTCCCTCCCCTCTCTCTGCAGTGCTGGTCCACAGGCCAAATTACCCACATCCCTATGTACTTCGTCAATGCCCAGTTTCCACATTTTAGCCAGGTGCTTGGCAGAACCCAAGAGACCCCATGTGGGGGTGGAGGTTCTATTCATGATCTGCCCCTCTTTACTGAGACATCCCCAACTTCTCCTTGGGACCCTCTCCCAGGGCCACCACCTGCTTGGTCCCACTCCCCTCACTCCCACTTCTAACAATAAAGATTTCCTTCTGTGTTTTCCACTCACTCAATTATGAGACTCTTTTCAAGAGAATTGCATTGAGGTGTAGTGAAGGAATAAAAGGCATGGACTTTGGGTTAGGTCTTGGTTCTATTGCTTTTTAGCCACTACCGGTGAGTATGGTCAAGTTGTTTAACTGTAGGAACTGGGTGGTTTTCAAATGATTAGGGAAGCAAAGCTGAGAAAATGTCAACAGGCCTGAAGGTCTAGCATAGGCTCTGGCACATAATAGATGTTATAGATGTTTCACTTTTCCCAAGTTTCAGCAAGTTCCCAAAATGGTGCAGGGTAGTAATGTGGCAAGGGCTAGGTCAGTAGGAGGGAGAAGAAGTTTTATTGGATGAGGGGACTTGTGGGAGGCTTACATGCTGGGCGCTGGGCCAGCGTGGCACGGGCCATGCTCAAGGCACCCTCTCGGGTGTGGTGTCCACCAATGAAGCCACTGGCATGAACAAAGATGCAGCCAGGAATTCCACTGACCCGGTCTAGAGCCTCATCCCGAAGACCTCGCCATGACTCTGGGAGGGGCAGCCTACAAGTGAGCAGAAGAGGAAGTTGGTGGGAGCAAATGGAAGCCTTGAGGAACAGAGCGAGGAGTAGAGCAGAGGCCAGAGTTAGAGGCTGTCTCTGATAGGGAGGCAACAGGCTTGAAGGTCTGCAGGGTGGTTCCCCAAGGGCCTTACCTACTCTGGAATGAATGGAGCTCCTTGGGCACACACTGTACCCGCCACTGTCCAGCCTGGTCAGTGTAGATAACAAAGGTGATGGTCACTGGGGGTGACAGTAGAGATTCCAGGTGATAGAGGTGCTCTTTCCAGGGGCATCCACCTTTTGCCAGTTCTATTATCTCCCCACTTGGGTCTGCCTGAAAGGGAAGTGGGGCATGGCTAGAAGGTTCTGGATGGCATCAGCTGCCAGTCAGTATTCACTAAGCCCTGAGCCACAATGTCTCCTCCCAGGCCTTTACCTGGAATCGCTGGGCCAGGGCCTCTTCTACCAAGGCCCGGGCTGGCAGCCAGCTGTACTGGTAGAAGTGTAGTCTCTGCAGAAATTCCTCTCGAACCAGATCCATTGCGCGCTTGAACCCAGCCTGAGAATCATGGGAACCATGGTGCTGGTCTGAACTTTTGACTTTGCTAGGGTTTGACGGGTCAACCACTCTCATTTCCTCCCCTGAGGTCTTACATGCCTCATTCTCTTTCCCTGGGGCCCTCCTTACCTCTGTGTCTTGGTTGTGCTGGTTCCAGGTGGGATTAAGGCGGGCGACCCGCGCACTCAGTGTAGTGGTCACTGCATATCGAGGCTCTCCCTCCTCCCACTGGGAGATCCCATTGTCTACTGCATCCACCTCCTCCACAAAGTTCTCATACATCTAAGGCAGCAGCAGGAGAAATGCTCGAGTGTACCTATGACTTGCATAATAGTTTTATAGGTTTCAAAGTTATGTGCATACACTCTTCAGTTTTCTCAATGCAGTGACCCGGTGAGTATCTTTCAGCTGGGTAAGGAAAGGAGTAACTGGGGTGTCCAGCAGCTTGCTTAAGGTCAGAGAGCTAACAGTGCCAGGGTTGGAGATTGGATCATTTGTTTTCTAATCCAGCCCTCATTCAACTACCATACAAAGTCCTAGCTGGGGCCAGCATGTGTGGGGAGGGAGCCGCCAACTTCTGAACAAAGGTCTCCAGTTCCATGAGGGGCCCTGTGGCTGAGGGAGGGTAAATCTCCACTGGGCCTGAGTAGGCTACTCAGTGACCTGTTTAATGAAGTCTGGGAGGGTCTGGCCAAGTGCACAAGTCAGGTGGGAGAGAATGGGTGCGGGACTAGACATCAAGTGCTGGGGTGTGGTCCCCGAGAAATCCACGATGTGCCACATGGCATCAGTTGCTGCATCTCCTGAGCCTAAAGAAATGGTAGGACAACGCCTCAAAGTTTGGGGGCAGAAACAATACAGGAGCAGTGTTTAATGCAATACTGCCCTACAAAATAGGCCTAAATATCAACATACCTGTAGTATGTAGAAAAAGTGCTACTGTCAGAGCCAAAAAAGAAACTCCAACCTGATAATCAGTTAAAACTCAGTTGTAATTTAGTTCAATTGCTTAGAAACCCCTCAGCAGTAGAAGGGAAATCTAAGCCAGGCAGTCTATAACCTTAGTATTCCAAAGTCTCCAATTTAATCATTCACATTTATTTACTTTTTTTTTGAGTTGTACTAATGCGGTATCACAGGGGCAGAAGACAAGCTGAGAGAGAGAGAGAGAGAGAAGTGAACAGTCTGCAAAAAACAGCTGACTGAATCTGAACTTTGATTTGTGAACTTCACAGGAGTAGAATCTAGTAGATGTCCTCAGAATCACTGATCTGACATGCACGCCAGGGCCACTAGCTCTGTTCCTTCCCCAGCCACAGGAATCTGCTGACCTGCTGTCAGGGGAGGCTGGTGGAATCTGAAGAGTCTTCCCAACGGGGCTTCCCAACTCACATGCTCCTGGTGAATTATGGTGGTACCTAGAACATGCTCCACTCCCCTTTCGAGGCAGCCAGAACCTCTGAGCCATAAGCTACCAAACATAAGCAGCCTCCCCTATTACCAAGTTGTGAACAGTCATTTTTCATTTGAGTCGGGTCAAGACAGACTGGGAAACACTGCTTTATGGTTTTCAAAACCCTTTCCCACGTTACCTCATTTACTTCTCACCACCCCAGGATAGAGGCAGATTAACCATTCCCTTATGAGAAGATGAGGCTGACTAAGGGAGATGGTAGTGGGCTAGCTATGGGCCAGGAACTCTGATCTGAGGCCTAGTCCTAAGTGCTATGTGAGTGCCACTCCCACTTGGCCTGGTGGAGATGCATATGTGGGGCATCTCTGCTCTCAGGTCCCCACCTTGTCATACAGGGTGCCCACCATGCTGTCCTCTTCACTAGTGCCCAGCAACTGGGCCAGCAGCTTGTGCCCAAAGTGCAGATAGATGAGTCCCGCACTGCTCAGCTTGGTCTGCCAGGGCTTCCCAGGAAACAGCGAGCTCATGGTCTCTGTGAAAGACCTGAGGAGCACAGGGAGGTGGGGCTGAGCAGAGTTGCCCCCATTAACCCACAGTGTAGGGGTGTCAAACTCATCTTCACTGGGGACCACATTAGCCTTGCAGTTGCCTTCAAAGGGCTGAAATAATTTTAGGAATGCATAAACGTAACTACTCTTTAACTGTTAAGGAGTTGAAATTACATTCAGCCCTTTGAAGGCAACTATGAGGCCAATGTGGACCCCAGTGAAAATGAGTTTGACACCCTGCCATAGTGTGTGTGTGCATGTGTAGGCATAAGTGGAGGTAGGGAGGCTGGGAAATACTGCAGGAGTTGGAAGGAGACAGCCCAGCTGGAGAGGCTTTGGCTTTTCCTCAGGGGTCACATAGGCTGCAGTTTGGAGTCTCCATGCATGCATTTGACGATGGTTAACCCAATGCTTACTATATGCCCAACTTAGTAATTAGACATTGGGGATTAAAAAACCAAGACCATGTCCCTGTTTTCAAGTTCATCTGCTGAAGGCACACAAACACAGAAGCAACCAAGCAAATGCTTTAGCTAAGTTATAAACAAGGAAGGGGGTGAGACGAGGGGAAGGATTCAGGAAGGGAGCCTTCAAAATCATACCTGACAAATTACTGGGTGTTTATCAGACAAAAAGAGAAGTGTTATTCCAGGTAGAGGAACAACATGTACAATGGAACTGCAAGAAAGGCAGCTTAGGTGTCAGTGGCAAAAAAACAGAAGGGTAAGCAGGGGCCAGGTCATGGCAGGCCTTGTGTGCCATACTTTGGAGTTTGGACATTGATTTGTATGTAATGCGGGCCACTGAGAGATATTAAATAGACAGGTGCATGTTAGAAAGAGTATTATCGTATCAGCGTGGAGAACAGATGCAAGGAGATTATCTGCATTGGTCTGGAGTGAGGAAGACAGGGGTTTGAAGAGCAGTGAGACAGAATAGAAGGGTATGACGGTTGTCAGGGAAGTGGAAACCACAGCTGTAATTTGTAAATACCAATCAGAGTCACCTAGGGAGCTCGTTTTTTGTTTTGATTTTTATTATTAAATGTTTTTAATTCAGTTTATTGGGGTGACACTAGTTAATAAAATTATGTAGGTTTCAGGGATACAATTCTACAATATCAATTATATACTATATTGTGTGTTTATTATTAAGTATTGAGTAAATACAAAAACTTTTAATATACATAAGATACAAAGACTAATAATGATAACCCCCAGATAAGTTTCAAAAAGAAGCAAAACTAAATAACTGTGAATGTTAACAGAAATATATGCTAAACTCTACACTAGGGTATGATGAACACAAAACTGCCTTCTTCCGGAGGAGGTTGGGGGATGGGATAGGGACGAAGCACACAGGCACAGATTCAAAGGTGATGGTAATGTTCAGGTTCTTAGATTGGGAAATTAGTTCATGGGTGTTCATTTTATGTTTTATAGTCTAGAAATATTAAATACATTCTTTTATGTGTCAGATACTGCATAATTTTTATAAATGTATGTCAAATCATGAGGAAAAAGGAAGTAGTGAACAATGTCAAAGTGCCACAAAGAGGTGAGTTATGCAGCCAGGAACCTGAGCTTGGTGTTGAAGTCACTGGCACCCTATTCATGAACATTTCTGATGGAGAGAATGGGCAAGAACCAGCCAAGTGAATGAATGACAGAAAGAAAGAAATGAATACAAAGGAGTGTGGAGCCAGAATCAGCTCTTCTTTTGAAGAGTGGCTGAGAAGTGAGAGTTGTAAATACCCTCCCAACAGCATTTATAAATAGGTACACTTAAACAAAAGAGGGAGAAAAATACTTGGAGATTTAAAACATAAAATCACTTCATAATCCCTCAGAGATAATCAGTTTAAACAGTATGGTGTATACGAGGGAGGATTTCATATATATTTATTTGTTTTCAAAATGAGAGATGCCTCAGCAGAGTCTTAAGCAGTTGGCAAGAAGTAGAAACACTGGTGGGAAGTCCAAGAGAGAAAGTAATAGATTGGAAAAGGGAGAAAAAGAAGGAAACAGTGTTGCTGCACTGGAAAGAGGGAGCAAAGGATGTTTAAGAGTGGGAAAGGGGATGTGCTCTAGTAGGGAAAGCGAAATTTCCTTAAGAGAGAGAGAGTCACCGAGGTAGGGCCTGCAGGGAGGGGAAAGGATTGCAGTGGTACTGTAGATACCGGGCTACCCCTGGCAAAGACAGATCTCCCAAGGGAAGAGAGTAAATGGAGACCACACACATCTGAACTGTTACCACCACTACAATCATGTGGGCCCAAAGAATGAAGTGGAGCAGCAAGGACACATGAATGGATTAACCCCTTAACTGGGGTGATTAACAGTGCTAATGGGAGAAGAGTCTGGGCCAGAGAAGTAAGCTGGGAGGCGCCTGAGGACTGACTGGGGCCAAGGGAGGCCTGTGCAGATTAGAGGGCTCACGGAGGTCCCAGCCCAGGTAGATGGGTGTAGAGCAGGTGGTGAGAGCTAGAAGGATGAAGGCTGTATGCCGCCCCCAGGACTCAGGTGTTTGCATTCCAGGATGAGGCAGTCACTTTGCTGACAGAGACCACTGCAGAGGATGGCTACGTCAGAGCACTGAGGAAAGCTGAAGAAAAGGTATCTGGGAACCCACCTCTGGTGGTGGTCATATCGGTGTCTTTGAGGGTCGTACTCGCCACCCACGTCCACCACGATGTCGCAAGAAGCCAGTTTTTCGGGGTCGCGGGTCCTCACAATTTCTGCATCCTGCGGGGGAGGGGGGTCACAGGAGGTGAGGGAGCCGTCAGGAGTCGCGGGGGCACGGGGATTAATGTTGGGTTCCCAGAGTAGCCAGGAGGGTAGGAGAGGTACTGTGGTGGCCCGAGATACCACAGGGGCCCGGTAAGGGCACGCAGGCAGCCCCAGAATGATCGTACCCGGTACTCAGGCAGGAGGCGGAGCAATGAGCATGCCAGGACCTCGTCGCAGTGGAAGGTGCCGTTGTGTGTCCCGATTCGAGGTGGTGCCATGAGGCTGCTGCGTGCTCTTTTTGGGGGCTGGATGGATTCCAGGCTGAACAGGCAGTGCCGGACACAGACGGACGGCGGCGGCAACAGCACAGGTAGGAGACCCCGCAGGAAGGGACAGCCCATGCAGCTTCTCCCGCGCAAGTGTGGGGGTGGGGGCGGGAACCAACCCGGAAAAGGAAGTGCTCTCGCAGCCCCACTTCCGCCTGTCAGCTTTCCCACGGCTATAGCCCGCAGGAGAGGCACGCTGCGCAGCAAAAGCAATCCTCCCTACTGCTCCCATGAGTCCAGATGGAGACTCAAAGTACTGCATCAGGCTCGGGGACAGGGCACACTCCCTCGAACACCGCCCTCCCATCTTCTCTTCACCAGCCCCTCACCTAATACAAGAAAAGACCAACATTCTGTCCACTTGAAACATTTATTGGCATTACACACAAAACCCTTATCTTCCCCACCACAAAGTCCCAGGCCCCGAGGTAGGGCCCCTCTGCCCGATTTCTGAAACAAGGTGTTAGGCTTTGGCAGCCTGAGTTGCTCCCAGGGCTGTGAGTTGCTGAATCTTCTGGCTCATCATCTCCATGACAGCTGTGGAGGGGAAAGAGTCAGACCCTAGTCAGGAGCTGAAGGGAAAAACCCAGAGTTGAGGAAAAGGAACAGAAATGTTTCAGGACGGGCAGAGATGTTAAATTGTAGTTTAATCACTACAATTAATAAAACTTTTGACAGTGATCCACTGTTGGGGACATAAACTAATAGAAATTTAGAATCTACAATATGTCACTAAATATGACAACTGAGATATAAAGATGAACAAAATACAGTATTAAATGAGTCAGACATAACCAAAAATTGTAATGTGGAAGAGATCGTTGCTTTTAGAACAGTGGTTCTCGATCTTGACTGTGTAACAGAGGGGTGTCAAACTCATTTTCATTGGGACCCACAGTCAGCCTGGCAGTTGCCTTCAAAGGGCTGAAATAATCTCCCTTAGTGATTCTAATGTGTAGCCAAGGTTGCAACTGCTAGTACTTAGGGGTATATTTCTTCGGTGTTCATTTACATGTATTTTCCCCCCATTCCCGCCCCCATTAAGAACAGAGATGTGAATTCCTTCCTCTAAATTTCTCAAGCACCCAACTCAAGAAATCTACACATAGTGGGTATTTAATACACAGAATCTACAGAATAACACATCAAGACACTAACGATAAAAATATAGTTTTAATCCAAAAAGGAGACACCTCATAGTTCACACTGCAATCCACGTTCTTTATCATTGAGGCAGAAAGGGTGAAGAGGTGCCCCAGGTCAAGCTTACCCTGTTTCATGGCATGCTTCTCCTGCAGGGCTGGCTGGATTTTCTCCATTTGCTTGGTGAGGAAGTCTATTTTCCTTTTGAAGAAGTCCTTGGCATCCTCAGCTGTCTAAAAGGTCAGAGGTGATGAAGGGGCTAAGTGGAGACCCCATGCTACCTCTAAATCTTCCCCTAAACTTCCTTTCATTGCTCAGAGGAGCATCTACATGGCTCCTTCCACTCACCTTCTCTACATAGTAGCCAGTTCCCACATCGATGAGCACGTGTTCCACATCATGTAGCTTCCCAGGGACATACATCTGTGAAGCAAGGGTTAAGGGAAAACTAGCCCAGCATGAGTCATGATTCCTTGTCAACCAGACTGTTTGGCTTCCTAAGACTTTCTTTTCTAAAAAAGCTAGTCACAGGGACTGAATAATCTGGAAACCTTAGAATTATACCTGTTAACTCCAAATGTGGACAGATGGAAAAGTTGGTTCCTTATGGAGAAAATGTCATATACAAACACTCTCTTGTCCTGATCCCACTCTAAGCAGGCAGTACCTCCCAGATGATTAAACACAACATTTTCCTACTGCTATATAATAGGAAAAATGAAAAGCCAGCCTCACTTCCCCTCAACACCTTTAACCTTGAACTAGCTAACTCCTGATGGATTTAAGGTTTGTTATGTAGCCAGTCCCTACTACACTAACTATTTCTGTGTTTCTCTTTTACCCTGTCAGCTCTCAGACTACAGTTTACAGGTACCCTATTGTCATAACTTGATCCTTCAAGTAAAACACTCGAACAGGTAGGCACAATCCAACTCTCTCAGTAACGACAGTTTAGGACTAGGAGCCACTATTAAGCTGAAACTGAGAATTAATACACAGAGCCAACCCACTTGTTTCTGTTTCTTATTCTACTGCTTATGTCTTTTAAGTTATTAGTAAAAGTATAAACGACCAGTTTAAAAAAGGGAAATAGTCGCACTTCAATTATACATACTCTTTGGTGCTCACAAGGCAATACTTAGATGTTGGCCTCAGGATATAGATAGGAGAGTTAGGCAGTGTGTACAGTAAGAGCTCTTAGAGTCACGGGGGCACTTGGGAATCGTCAAACTACCCCACCCCACCCCACCCTTTTTATTAAGGGGAAGGGGTGAGGGAGAAAAGGGTAGTTTCTGTGAAAAGGATACAGAACTCGTCAATGGGACAAGCAATTCTTTCCCTGTGAAAGCAATTTAGACAAACATCTGGGGAAGGTTGGCAGCTGCAATATTAAGACGTTAATGAGTGCCAACACGAGGCAGTGCAGATAGTATGAAAAGAAAGGAAAGGGGCAAGAGGAGCTATGTCCTGTACACTTCAATTCTAGGTAGAATTTGCAATGTGAACATGCAAAATGCTCACAAAGTGGTACAGAATATATAGTGGGTTCTTTCTCGTCTCAGGTAAGGAAGACCGTTTTAGTTTAGGAGGCGGGACGAGTAGCCGGCTCGCCACATCCCCCAGGCTGCTCTCGCGCGCCTACTCCATACCTTCATTGCTCTTGTTCAGCACGTTCAGGCAGTCCTTGGCTTCCACATACTTCGTTTGTACCACCTTGAGCTGGGCAATGGACGTGGACAAGAACTCCACTTCCTACAGAATTCATGAGAGTCAGCGTGGGACTGGGAGAAAGAAGGGAGTATTGCCGGAGGTGGGGGGATTCGCAGGGGAAGGGAAGCCTCCCAAAGTGGGGAGGAATGGGGGTCCGAGGGCGTACGCATGGACCGGAGTGATGTGAGGCCGGAAGGGAGTGTCTCTGGGGCCAGTCCCTACCTGGTCCAGCTGGTTCTTGAGCATTTCCAGCTGCGGTAGATTTAGCTCAGTGATGTTGACTGACTGCGCCATGTTCGAGAGGGCGGGGACTAAGAAGGCGGAAGCCGGCCCTGCGAGCAACGCTCTAGACATCCTCTGCGCGCATCTCGATGGCTGCGTTCGAAGGCCTCGCTGCACCAGACATCTCTATGATTGTGCGTCTCGAAAGGGAAAGGGAAGTCTTTCAGAGAGTGGCCTTTGGTTAAAGAGAGTGGCGCTTGCTTTTTCAAAAAACGTCCCAAGTTTAGCGTAGTAAAGTTGTAGCAAACAGGATTCCTGCCTTTTTTGCTTTTAAATGTGAGATTTATTAAGATATAACTTACATACAATAAAGTACAATTGGATGAGGTTTAAAAAATGCAGTCTTGGGACCATCACCAGTCTAGATAAAATATTTTCATTACCCCCCAAATTCCATCAGGCCTCTTTGCTGCAAATCTCCTTCCTCGCAGGCACACAGAAGGTTAAATTACCCACTGGATACAGTGACTTCCAAAGTACAGTAACTAGAACTGAGTCCAGGTACAACAAAGAAACTAGTTGTTTAATACACCAAACACAAAATACAACGGGAAAATGAACTGTAATAAAGCAATTCTCAGTACGTAAAATGCCAATTTGTGACCTTGTAGCACAATTACTGGGAACGTTTGAACAGCTTTTATTTCACAACTGCTGGGCCTTTTCACTTTCCTGGTTGAATCCACCCTTCATGAGATTTAAGATATCTTCACCTTTTAAGGGATTAAGTCCCAAATAAGGCTATTTATACTGGAGAAATGTTTTATTATTATTTTTTGTTGCACGAACATACTCCTTGGGCTCTATCAAATATCTAGTAAAACTTAAAAGATTCTTGTAAAAGGATCCTTTGGGCAAAGAAACACTGTCCTGTAACAATGCTACTCTTATAAAATCTTTGAGGTGGTTTATACTAACAGAACAACAAAATAATGAAATATATAGAATTTGTTGTATTCTCCCCTTCATTTCTTGACCTCAAGAATATAAAAATAGCCCTGGCTGGTGTAGCTCAGTGGATTGAGCGTGGGCCTGCAAACCAGAGGATCGTGGTTCAATTCTCAGTCAGGGCACATGCCTGGGTTGCAGGCCAGTTCCCAGCAGGGGACCCATGAGACAAAACCATACATCAATATTTCTCTCCCTCTATCCTCCCCTTGCCCTCTAAAGATAAATAAATAAAATCTTTAAAAAAATTTTTTTAAAAGAATACAAAAATAAGTTTGGCAAATGAATCATCCAAAATATCTTATCACCCATTGCATTTGAAGTACTTTTTGTGGCTCAATGTATTTATACCTGGCTGCTCTAGACTGAAAACCAAAACAAAAAAAAAAAAACCCAAACACAACTAGGTTGCATTAGCTGTGAATTTGCTAGGATACTTGCAACTTGGTTCAAATGAAGGCACTGACCTCTGATGTTTGAAATTCAAATAGCTTTTATTTAAATTGAAACACAGGCCTCAAAATTGCACTAATAGTTAAAATCCCTTGTTATAAAAGTCCTAAAGAGTATTTCTAGATATGGCAGGAGTTCTAGGTTAATAAGACCAGATCTGACTTGAAACTATCCTTTACATTGTAGAGAATGAAGAAAAAATATTTACAGAGAATATTATCTACATACGTTCTCATATACAAATATGGTCACAGAAAAGACTTTTAAGGGCATGTTGGAATCTTAGAAGCAATTTTTTTATTTTAAACTTTTTTATTGATTATGCCATTACATTTGTTCCATTCCCCGCCTCCATTCCCCTCCACCCTGCATACCCCTCCCCCACCATTTCCCCCTTTAGTTCATGAACATGTCTCGAATTCTTTAGATTCTGTATTTCCCCTACTATTCTTACCCTCCCCCTATCTATTTTCTATCTACTGTCTATGCTACTTATTTTCTGTACCTTCTCCCCCCTTCTTCTCTCACTCCCCTGTTGCTAACCCTCCATGTGATCTTCATTTCTATGGTTCTG